GTGTTCAAAATTTCAATGAGAAAATAAACGTGTTCAAAATTTCAATGAGAAAATAAACGTGTTCAAAATTTCAATGAGAAAATAAACGTGTTCAAAATTTCAAAATTTGGTAATAGTCTCCCAACTCTCCAAATGAGAAAATAATTCCAATGAGAAAATAAAACTTTAGGAAGCTTCTTCAAACCACAAAAAATACTTTCGTTTCTCAGAAATAGGTATAGTTAAAAGATTGACGGCTTATGGAAGTGTTCTTTTAACTTTGGGGGAGTTGATATAACTCCCATAACCTATTTAAACCTTTTTGGGGGTCAAAATTACCCTTATTTCCCGTTTGGGCATTCTTAAAAATTGAAAAAACACCAACGTCTCTAAGCACCGGCCCCGGTACTGCAGCACAAAATGGGTGCCCAGGTCTAGGCATGCGGCCAGAGGTGTCTTGGGCGCCTAGGCATCCAGCGGATCATTTTTTATTACATTGGCTGACAGGTTGGTCAAGAAAGGAGTAGCTGCAGGACCTCCGCGTACACTTTCACAGCCTTGAAGTCTCTTTTCAGGCCTCCCCCCTTCCCCTCCATCTCTTTTCTCTCTCTTCATCCCTCTATCTCCTCCTCCTGCCCAAATCTCTGGCATTCTCATTTTCTTTTTGCCGCAGCCCACAGCTTGTGGGTAGCTTCCTAGTATTTAACCCTTTTTTTTTCTCTTAACCCCTCTTTCATAAAAGCACCCCACATAGTGGGTTGCCATATATTTATTGTTTCTTACAGCTTTTCTTTTAACAACCATTTCTGTATGGAGCACCCAGCCTTGTTAGTTGCCAGGATTTATTATACAATCTCAACTTATTGAATACAGTCGACCTTCACTCAAAAAAAAACAAAAAAAAATGTGCATTTGTGATATATCTCAAATGATAAGATTTTCCATTTCTATGCAACAACTACATTATCCATTTGCATTGCAAGAATAGAACATTAAACAAAGAAAAACACTAAAAGAAGGCAGAATCTAAGAAACAGACACAAAAAAACAAATTCCACAATTCACATAAATATCAAAGAAGTATAAAGGTTACATTATTAAGACTGGGGAAAAATATTTTATCATGTTGAGAAAGAAATTTACATCAAACACTAATAGATTACTAACAATGAAGTACCGAGGGACCAATCGATGGAAGACAAGAAGTATTGTGAGTGATAGCACATGCATAACAAATTGAAATAAGAAATGCCAAGAATGCAACGATGAGATATTAGCATTGGCGGTACCTTTTTTTTTTTTTAATCTGTTAACTTATTAGCATTTGCCATCATACCAAAGAAAAATAGCTTATCAGCTCATTTCATATATTATAAATAGCACAAAAGGTCATTCTTAGTTTCATTTTGGCCACCATGCTGGTCAGTCAGATGCATGATTTAGTGTTAGCAATTTCATAAAATCCTTGATACCAACCAGAACTAATTCTTGGGTACCAATCTACACATATGTCAATTTTCAACATGAAAGAGACAATTATATTATGAGAAAAATAATAATCATACAAAGATAATGAAGGACAACAGGTGTGGGCCAACATTTTCTTACATTCGAATCAAGAATAGCATGAAACAAGGTAAAAGATGGGAGCAAGTATGAGGTTTCAAAATGATGGAAGCAAGTATCACGTAACAAATGCTTGTGTAACATAGAAAATTAAGAACAAGATGGGAAGAAAAGAAAACTACTTTTAAACATACAACAATGGTAGGTCCAGGGTTGTTTCACTGACCAAGAGTATATGGAAAGTATGATGGGTAACAATGTACTTCAATTCCGTAGGGCAGCTTGCAGGCTAAAAATATAGCATATTATGTTGAAGAAAATCTTTAGGAGGGCCAATAATTGAAAGTCAATTTGTAGTGGATAGAGATTAACATACTCCTAGAGAAGGCACCAATTGGATAGAAAGATGCAGAAACTAAAGGACAAATTCTTTAAGAGTATTCATATTAGAGAAAAAACAAAGAACAAATTGGTGAAGTGTCGAGGTAAGAAGGATATAACCAAGATTAGAAAATAGGACATCATATACAAGTTCACAAATCTAATTGACTTGTAACATAAAAGAGAATCCGTCAACAGAAAAGACGATGCGGTGCTGCTTTTTATAACTAGACACATATGGTACCATTTATCTGGATTGCCTTGAGTCAACACAAAAGTGTTACAGTTAGAAATTAGAATTGATTGAACATAATTAGCATTGTCTGCTCTATCAAGGACGATACTCTCAGTGAGTCTCTAAGTCCCCATATCTTTTTGTACCACTTCCAACCACGTCCTCTTGGGCCTATCCCTTGCCCTTTTTTAGCCTTCCACTTGAAACAACTCACAGCTCCTAACACGTGATATACTAGATCTGCGTTGCACATGGCCAGCCCACCTGAGTCTACTTTATCCCATCTTATCACCTATGGGAGCCACACCGAAGTTCTTTTGAATGTATTCATTTCAAATACTATACATTCTTGTCTTGCCACTCATCCATCTCAATATCCTCATCTCAACTACACTTATCCTATGGGCATGTTGTTTCTTTACAACCCAACATTCATCCCCATAAAGCAAAATTGGTCTCACAGTTGTCCAATAGAACTTCCCCTTCGACTTCATTGGTATGTGATGATCCCATAAATCTCCAGTTGCACATCTCCACTTCGTCCACCAGCTTAAATTCTATGTGTAACATCTTCCTCAATCTTTCCATTTTCCAAGATCATCGACCCAAGATATCAAAATGAAAGTGCACTCTTTTTGGTATTTGTTGGCCCTCATCATCTCTAATCATATTATTACTCTGTCTTAGTTCTGCTAATTTTAAACCTTTAGATTCTAGAGCATCCCTCCAAAGTTCTAACTTTGTGTTGATGCCACTTTAGGTCTCGTTGATCAAAATTTAGAAACGTGATTTATCTTATTTTGTTTTTTGATACTACAAATTGATATAGGGGTTTCATAGAGGGCTTGAATACAAATAAATTCACACAACTCGCAAGCTCCTTCGCTAGGAATCAAGTGAGAGATTAGAAGACTGGCGGGTTGGTTTTTTGGGGTTGAAGAACCACGGGATGTCAATGAGACAACCTCATAAAAATCTCAAATTGATCCAAATAAACCTCTTATGGATCAAAAACAAGATCCTAAGCAATCGATTTTGGGGGTTAAATAACAGTGGATCAATCATTGATCTAAAGAGAATCAAATAATATAACCAACACCATACTTTTGTTTAAATTATTGAGTTGACTCAGCCGGTTATGAGTCAACTTGGAAGTTTCTAAATGATTATGCCTAAACAAGTTGCAAGAGTTGTAAAACAGGAATGGACTTGGCGTTGATTGGTCACAATTGCAACACTATGTCCTAAGTTTGAAACCTACCACTGAACTACGCAAAAAATAAAAAGAAATACAAAAGGAAAAAAAATAAGAAAAGGGGCTATAAAAGACAAGAAGAATAAATTTTCTTTTAGAAGTCTTCCCAAAGATAATTCAAGTATACTACGCTCATGAGATTCAGTCAGATTGCATTTGTTATTAATAGATGCTACCGTGCAACCACATTTGGCCATGTTTTTACATGTCTACGAGCCCTACTACCCCAATCAAATGAAATCTTGGTCCAAAAATGCAATCACAAATCACAGTGAACAGAGAGAAAACAAGAGCATGTTTCTTGATAATCCAGCAACAAATGCCAAAAATGAAACTCACACCTCCAGAACCCCACATTCATGATTCGACCAGAAGAGACAAAACAAACACAAACACAGCCAGAGAGAAAAATAGAATAAGATTACAGAGCAAAGGCATACATAGAAACAACTCTTGAGAAGACAATGGGAACCAGAGGAGTGCACTAAATTTAGCATGACATAAAAAAATGAAAGTGGAGACGGTATATATAGATAGAAAGAGAGAAGCGGTGCACCAGGGTGTGCATAAGCTTGGCATTCTTTCCCCGCTCTCTCGTGACCACCACCTTCTCGGGGCGGGGGTAAGATGAGCAGGCTCGCAGTCTAAGTGGCGGCAAGCTAATTGCAGGATGAGAAGAGGGAGAGAGCAGAGCCATTGCCATCGAGCTGAGTTGCGTACCGAGGAGAGAGAAACAAAGGCTGGCTTCCCTCCTCTTATTCATCTATTTAACTCGACTCCACGGCACCTGGTCGTTTCTAGCCGCTCACCCTCGGTACTTTTTGAATTTCATTTTTTGGATTGAATACTGCAAGACCATTTAGAATATTTCACAAGAGCCGTTGATGATAAATTGGATGGTTCAGATTGTGTTCTGAAAGTATTAAAAACAAAGCTGAAATTTTAATTAGGATAATTGTTTCATGCATGCGGGACCGCATTTCTATATTGAGGTACAGAAAGCGTATAAAGATGGATGCAAGTAGGAGTAGGTGTTCCATCTAAAAACAATGGAAACTACCTATCCAAATTTTGTTTTACTAAAATTATTATTTATAGTTTTTAAAATTTATTTATTTTTTCATATTCATGATCTCCATGTTAGAGATTACATATCCTTAAAAATTAAGTCTTATAATCCATCTCAAAAATATATTCATTAATAGGCCTACATTTCTATATATACGGGCTTCGCCGCATAGAAACCGGGTCTTTTTAATTATAGTCAATGACATACTTACAATCATTCAATTTAAGATTTTATGGATAAGAATCATTTTGATCTCCTTATACTAAAAGTAAATAGTCTCTTTATATGTTTTCTCTTTATTTTAGTTTTTTTATTTATAAGGAGCTAGTTTGGCCAACTGATAATTTAGCAAAGGGAAAAAATTATATAAGATTGCTAACTGTGTACTGTTAAACCAGAGTGTACGTCCAAATTTTTCTGGAAGAGAGTGTTTCGATGTTGGAAAACCCTCTGATCGATCACTTCGACCTTGAGATGGGTGATTATGAAGAAAAAAGAATTTAACATCCTAAAATGATGCATCTTATAATAAGTTATATGCACCATTTATTTTTAAAATTATCGAGTGTTTATATATGTTCAATGCCTATCATTTTTTAAATATTATACTAAGGTTTCCAACAGCAGAATTACATCACCAAGCAAATTTTGGAGATGCTCTTTACTTCTATGGGTCATTTGGATACCAGGAAATATATTGTCTGTAAAATATATTATTGTTGTATACATTACTGCGTAATACATTATTTGTAAATAGATTGTTACTGTTTGTGTAGTATTTAGATGCAACCTGGGAAATGCATTGTTACTGTTTGGCTATGTCTGGAAGAAATACAATGCTATTGTTTGACACTAAATCATACATACACACACAAAAAAAACCGCTTGAAGTATGCTTCATGGTATACCTAAAAGTTTTTGAAAGATGTCTCACAATTGCTGCAAAGGAAGATAAATTTAAAGGAACCTAGAGAAAAGAAGGTTGCACAAAACAACTTCTCAATAACCAATCAATAAAGAGAAGTAGATAAATCTAATTAAAATACAGAGAGAGAGAAATCAATTTAAACAGCATGTATCATACTCTATTTAATTTCAGCAGCATTATGTATCATACTCTCATAATTGCAGCAGCATGTAGCTCACCTTGATTATAAAAAGAATGCACCAAAATTCATATCAGAGAGTATCAAAATAATTCACAGTTGTTCATATCAGATATAACTTAAACTCCAAAGAAATTTTCTAAATTATAGAGAGAGCCCATATCAGGATTCAAACAAAGAGCTCTAAAAATTCAAGAGAGAGATTCCTAAATGATGAATCATACAAAAATCTCATAAAAAATTGCACAGAGATGCCCACACACAAAAAACAATTATCATATAACCAAAACCCAAAAAGAAAAACGATTGACCTGATGAAATAAATATTGGTAATTACTGTGTGATAATCCCATGATCAAGATTTCTAAAACCTTTCATAATTACTGATTTTATGTAAACTAAAATGACAAGAATGAGCCAAATCAACCTATAACTTTACTGATTTTATGGAAACTAAAGTAACAAAGAATGAACCAAATCAACCTAATCTTACCTATTCAAATCAACCCCTTTGGCCTGTAAAATGTTTATTGTTGCAAGAATCTTCTACCCACCAAACCCTACTTTTATAAGGCATTAGAGAAAATGAAAGCCCTAAATTTTTTAGGGCAGATTTAAGTCATAGAAAAATAGGTAAAACCCTAATTTTTTAAAAGAGAGAGAGAAGAGAAATTGCTCTTATTTAGATAGGGTAAGAGAGACATATGTTGACTTTGAATATGATGAGAGACGTTGCTCCAAGAGAGAGAGAGGATGTAGTTTTACTTGAGGTTGCTCCAAGTTTGTTGCTTCGAGAGAGAGAGAGAAGTAGCAAATTTGCTCGCAGAGTTTACCCGCACAGCTTGCTTGTAGAGAGTGAGCACAAAGAAGGGAGGCTCGAAGAGAGACAGAGAAGAGAGGCTGAGTTAGCAACGAAAGGATTTGGGAAAATGACGCATAAATAATTACCTGTCGCATCCCATAATTGATTTATTAGCTTTCCCATGCGTAATAGTTTTCACAATATATGGGGAAATGACACGTAATCTATTTTCATTTCCTTACTCTTTAGGTGCACCCAAACACTGAAATTGTTAGATTTCCTTGTAATCTATTTCCTTGTAATAGATTTTCAGGTATCCAAATGACTACTATATGAGAAGGGTGTCCTATCCAAACCTCGCCCTTTAGTAATTTTACTGAATGCTCTCCTCCATTTCTCTTGGTTGAAAAAAACCGAAATCCTACGGTTTTCATTTATAATCTAAAATACCATTAAAAGACTCAAATTGCCTTCAAAATTGCTCAAAAGGAACCAGAGACCCAAAATTGCTCAAACGATTGGGCTTGAGTGCTTAGCAGCTAACGATTAGCAGTGTTACATCTCAAGTTTGATTCCGTTGACTCCTGAGCAACCCAAAAAACTTGCTCAACGGAATATTTACCTCCACATAGTTTTTCTTAATAAATTATTAAAGGGCTTAAAAGATTTAATTTGTCATTATCAGGTTGGGGCATCATTATCAAAAAATTGTTACAAAATTCTCAGATTATCCATGCTCAACATTGAGAATCAAGGTTATTTCGATACTTTAACTCAAATGAGTGGCTTTAGCTAAATTACAAAATACCTCTAGTTTTTCAGGATTTGGAGTACGGGCAGCCAAATGATCAAAATAACAATAGTTGTTCTAGGTTAGCAATATGAAACATGGGGTATTTTTGTCATTTGAGTCTTGTGTTCACAACCCTAAACATATAGAATATTTTTCATAATTTGTCTTGAGCCATTTATGTGGGCTAAATTAGTTGTTCAAGGTTGCCAACCCTAACATTTGGGAATTTTTTAATAAAATTTTAAGGAGGTACTTTTATGAAAAGTAACTAAAAAGTGAAACCTATAGAGGAAAATGAAATATTTTGAGTTCTTTATTGCTTATTATTTCATAAAGCTACCTTCTTACCACAATGTTCTTAAATTACCAATATCCATCCCAAATTACCCATTTCAAACTGGAAATCTTGGATAATTAGGGATATTTCGATAATTTAGCCTTGATATAGCCAAATTATGAAAACACTTTTATCTCTTGAGGCTTAAGAATACAGATATGCAAATAATAAAAATAACTTCTATTTTATGCTACTTATGTTGAACAATTAAGAGTATTTTAGTTATTTAATAGGTCCATTTGCCTATTTATGAACTATCAATGTATTTTTATATTTTTTTCGAGTCTGTTTATACTCGAAGAAGCGGGCAGGGGACTCCGCCTCCATGTTAGTTTCAAGTGCAAATAAATCGATGAATTGGTATATAATGAGGCCTGTCAAATTACATTCCGTGGGAGAATCAGGTTCTAAGACCTTATTGTTTGAAGACATTTTTTAGCACCATGAGTCCCCGATGCGGTCAATAAAGCCTGACAAACAGTGGAAATTTTGATAGTCTTAGAATGGCCCCAGAACTGGTCAAGATCTTCATAATGACTCCTGAAGACCTCCTGCCAAGTTTCATCGCATTCCAACATCTCTAAGGCAGTGCAGACTGAGAAACAACTTCGGCAGAATCAGCCTCTAGCACCCTGAAACGGACCCCTATAACTGGAACCCTACTCTCGGAGCATCAAATAGCTGTGTTACAGTTCCATTGGATCTGGTAAGGTTGAAAATCCTTAGGGGTCAAATTTCAGCTTAAACAGACACTCTAGAAAGAAGTTATGGGCGGAAGACTAAAACAGAGAGGCTGCACACTAATCTCCATTAAGGGACAGTCACGAACAGTGACTTTCGGGGTCCATATCTCATTCATCCCGAGTCCGATCGCTCTCAAATTTTGTGAGCCGTCTCGTCAAGACAAGTGTTTTGATATGTGGCATGCCATGTGATGACTCCCGAGCAGAAAGAAAAGCTAGAGAGAAGTTGTTGATCCATGAAGAAAGTTGCAAGAAAATCAGCAGCGATACGCCTCGCTCAAGCAGCAAAATTACAGTGCTCACGCTTCGGATTGACACGAGACCAGTTCCATCTTATGTGTAAGGTCTAGGGCTATCTCTAGTCCGAACCCCGTACATGATGAATGGTCAGATTTCGCACACGAAGCCAATACAGTGACTGTAAATTTTGGCATCGAAATTTTAGATTCCGACCAAAACTCCAAAGTTGCGAAATCTTCATCCGAGTACGAAATTGACCTGCGTTTGTTGCCGATCATGATGGCATGCTCAGTGTGATCCAGTGAAGAAATCATAAAAAAATATCAAGGAACGAGCACATTATCGATCCAAAGTTTGCAAGATTCATCCAAACTTCAAGTCGCATGATTGTGGCTTAAAAACACGATCCATGGCTCGAAGTTGGTATCAAATCGATTGCCATGCCGAGCCCTACAAGAAAACAATCATCTTTCGAACAAACGGCCACCAAAGCAACCCCAGATCATCCACGAAAGATCACACATGTTTTAGGGCAGCAACATGGACTGCTTTGGAATTTCATGAATTGTTAGCCAGAGGCAAATCAGTCATTTTGCACCCTATTTTCTTATTTCTTTTAATTCAAATAAACCTTAATTATCATCAATTAGGGTGAGTTTTGGGTGATCCAC